AAAAGGGAAAAACACTTTTCACACGCAAGCCGAAAAAAGTAAAAATTGGTAGTGTTTGATAAATAAATGTTTTTTTAAACAAAAAGCTGAGAAGTGTTTTTTTAAGTCGTTGACAAAACTCCTAAATTTGTTCATTAGTTCATTAGAAAGTTTCCGAAAGTCATAAAACAATAATTACGGCTTCGATTTCTACGTACATACAAATACTCGTATACAATATGGCCAACATAACACACGCTCGTGACAAGCTTCTTGTGTGGATCCTCAATGTCCACAACTTTAATATTATGTGCCATCATCTTACCGCCCTTTTATCTTTCCATCAGATTGGCAAATTCCAAAGGTTGCCCATCCTCTTCTCCTTCACATCACGCATGTCTCCATTTATTAAAATGGTGCCCAGTTGGCCGGCGCCAAATATGGTAAAAGAAGTGTTTTTGTGTAATAAAAAAAGTGAAAAGCAGTTTAAAGTACATTTCCACTTGCTTCCAGCTTTTAACTTTTAAGTGATTAATTTAAGCAGAAGCTGTCATTTGAAAACACTCTTTTCAGCTTTTTAAAGCCAAAAGCAAAAAAAAGCGTTTTTTAAGTAACTGCAAACACTCCTTAAGTCTTCGAGTACCGGGCAGTGGATAGTAACATGCTCTTTTGTGTGAGGATGTTTTTATTCACATCATTTTCAATTCTAAACTAGACCAAACTAGACATAAACAAACTATATCAGACTAGAATTAAAAAAACCAGATCAGATCAGACCGGTCTTTCAAAATTATAAAATACATAGAGACCATACATTTACCAGACCAGTTCTAATTTCAGTCTAAGTAAAAACATTCTGAATTGATCGATGCTTGCATCTTTTGTTGTCTTCTTTCTTTGTCGAATATAGTAAAAAGTATACTCTGTATGCAATTTGAAAAAAGATTGGGGTACACACTTTTTGTACACAAAAAGTGTGTACCCCTAGCAGGCCTCATGCAATTTATATGCGAGATATGCAATTTGGGGTTAGGTCATGAATAATATCATTTAAAAGTGTTTGGACAAATATAGGACCTCTTTTAATAGCTTCCAAAAAAGAGACCATTAATGTGTACCATTTAAAAAAATGCTCCGTATGCCCCTGCCAATGGCCCCTGCTAGTCAATACACGCAATAATATATGACACACCCTATGCGCATTATTCATCATTCATTCATTCCTCCTGATTTTTTTTGGGATCCTTTATCATTTCTACATGCTATATTCTACTACAAAAAAAAGTGATTTAATTTATTTACCTTTTATATTCGGACTTTATCCATTAATAATACCAAAATAACTAACATTGACAAACACGAACAGTGACTAAGTTGAACAGTGACCAAACTAATTCAATTATCATGACCAACCCGTACAGTTATCATGACCAACCCCATCATGACCAACCCGTCCAGTTATCATGACCAACCCCATCATGACCAACTCGATCATGACCAATACGACCATGACCAACCTGTACAACTATCATGACCAACCCGTCCAGTTATCATGAACAACCCGATTCAGTTATCATGACAAACTCGTACAGTTACCATGACCAACCCGTCCAGTTATCATGACCAACCCGACCATGACCAACCCGACCATGACCAATACAACAATGACCAACCCGATCATGACCAACCCGACCATGACCAACCCGACGATGACCAACCCGACCATGACCAACCCGACCATGACCAACCCGATCATGACCAACCGGATCATGACCAACCCAACCATGACCAACCCGACTATGACAAACCCGACAGTGACCGGCCATTGCCCATGCCCGGCCAAGACCAACACACATGATGCCGCCGCCACACATGCCTCGGCCGCCGCCGCCAATGCTCCGGCAACTGCCTAATCTGCCTTACAAACCCTACCCCACCCTACCAGTGCCCCCAAGACCTTGTCTCGACCTCCTCCCCTTCCCCAGGCAACCAAGCACGCCACCACCGCCCACCATTTTCCCTCCCCTGCTCCAAGATGCCAGACCTGCTAACCTAGCCGTTGCCTAACGCAGATCTGAAAATGCATCGGCCGTCGCAAACGAAATCCTAGCCGCCGAAGACCGCTGAAGACCTGATAACGCAGAAGGCGGGCCAGTGACGGAGGAGGCGGGGGTAGCGACGGAGGAGGTGAGGCAGCGTCAGAGGTCGTCCGTCGATTTCCATACGGGCGGCGCTCGAGTAGAAATAGAAGGAGAAGAGAAAGATTGCTCTCCGCTAGCCATGGTTGCTCTCCAGTCTCCACTCGCAATCCAGCGTGCTGCGTGCAATTGACGCTTGAGACGGATGGGAGAAGAGAATGGGATGTAGACAAGATAAGTCCCATTTTTGTCCAAATTAAAACCGGACCTACTTTTGTCCATGTAGAAGTCAATAGTCTTATTTGAGTCAATATTTCATGCAATTTTATGTCTTGCCCATCTATGTTATCTTGTTAGAGTTAATTCCATGTTTGGGAGTGTTAATAATGCTAAGTGTTTTTAGTTTCAAGCCATACTTCATTCTATGATTAGAGAGGTATTTAAATACAAAGAGTTTGGGCTTATTAGGGTTTACAAGAAGTTTAATATGGACCCAATAAGCCAAGAGAATATTACAAAATAAATGCAAATTTACTTCGTGCTGCTTTTTGGACGCCCAACTGATGAGGTTACCACCATAATAAATAGCAAAACCATGCTGTGAACGACAGTCATCAATGTCAGAAGCCCAGCCTGCATCAGAAAAAGCAACAAGACGGTTATCGGTGCAGGGCCGTAGGTGGAGGCCTGTGGTAATGGTGCCCTTGAGATAACGGAGAATGCGCTTAATAGCTTGCCAATGGATGTCTGTAGGAGCATGCATGAACTGACACACACGGTTGACAGCATAAGATATTTCAGGCCGTGTGATAGTAACATATTGTAGTGCACCAACAACACTACGGGAGAGATTGTGCTCATCCATGGGATCTCTAGTGACCGAGAGGCGAGAACCGGGCTCGGCAGGGGAGACAATCGGGCGAGCATCATGCATTTTGCTACGCAGAAGAAGCTCAGTAATATATTTCTGCTGACTCAGAAAAATAGAGGAAGTGGATCGCTTTAGCTCGATGCCCAAAAAATAGTGAAGATCTCCCAAGTCACGTAAAGTAAAGGCAGCATTAAGCGCAGTCACAAAGGTATCAATCTCTGTAGGATGAGAGCCAGTTATAATTAAGTCATCCACGTAGACTAATACATAGAGAGTGGTACCGTTGTGACGACGTATACATAGAGAGGTGTCAGATTTGCATGCAATGAAGTGGTGTTGGTGAAGAAACTGGCAGAGCTTGTGAAACCAGGCACGGGGTGCCTGCTTAAGACCATAGAGAGCTTTCCTCAACAGACATACATGATTAGGACGAGCACGATCCACGAAACCTGGAGGTTGAGTCATATAAACGGTTTCATAGAGATCACCATTAAGAAAAGCATTAGCAATATCAACATGTCGTAATTTCCACCCAAAAGATATGGCCAAGGAGAGCACAATGCGGATTGTAGTGGGTTTAATGACCGGACTGAATGTGTCAGAGTAGTTAACACCCTCCTCCTGGTTAAAACCCTTAGCAACCAATCGTGATTTGTAGCGCTCAATAGTGCCATCAGCATGCTTCTTCACCCTGTACTCCCACTTACAACCAACAATGTTAGAGTTACGAGGAGGTAAGATAAGATCCCAAGTCCCATTTTTAATTAGAGCATCATACTCAACTTGCATCGCATGCTGCCATTCAGGGTATTTGGACGCCTGGAAAAAGGTTTGTGGTTCAAAAGATATAGATGAGGGTATGGACAGAGGATGTTTGGTAGAGAGTAAAGATTTGGGTTTAAGGGTGTTTGTTTTGGAACGAGTGATCATGGGGTGAGTAGAGGTATCAACAGGTCTATAATAAGAAGGAACCGTAGGAGGAGAAGGTGAAGAAGATATACCTGAGCGTGGCGAAGAATCCGAGGACGGAGCGGCTGCACTGGAGCGCGAAGATGAGACTGTAGCGGGTATTGTTGGAGTTGTGGGTACGGAGGGGGTGGGTGAGGGACTGCTGCGCTGAAAATGGTCAGTCACCCGGTCGGGTGAGTGAGTTACCCGATCGGGTTGGGCAGGCAGTGTGTTAGAGGAGGTAAATGAAGGCTGAGATGCTGTAGATGCTAGCTGTAATGGTTGAAGGGATGCAGTTCGGGTGGAGGAAAGGGGAGTGAGGGAAGCAGGGTTAGCATATAAGGGGTATGGGAAGGACGTCTCATCAAACATGACATGCCGAAGGATGTAAATGCGGTTAGTGGGAACATGAAGACATTGATAACCTTTATGTTTAGAGCTATAACCAACAAAAATACAAGGAGACGACCGGAATTCTAGTTTATTGGCATTGTATGGTCGTAAAAGAGGATAACAAAGGCACCCAAAAGATTTTAAAAATGAGTAGTCAGGGGGTTTGCCGTATAAAGATTCAAAGGGTGATTTATCCTTTAAAATAGGTGTGAGAGTGCGGTTATGTAAATAAACACTGGTGTGAAATGCATTTTCCCAAAAGGAGCAAGGCATGTGTGCATGAGCAAGTAAGGCCAAGCCTTTTTCAACAATCGTTCTATGACGGCACTCAGCGGCTCCATTTTGAGATTGCGTGTGAGGTCAAGAAAGGCGATGGAGAATACCCTGTGTTTGTAAGTAAGAGGGAACAGATGGATATTCTCCACCCCTGTCAGACTGAAGTTGTTTTATTTTAGAATTAAATTGGGTGGCAACCATGGCCTGAAAAAATTGAAAAGTGGGAAGAACTTGTGATTTTTGGTTTAAAAAATAAATCCAGACAAACTTTGTGCAATCATCAACAAAAATAACAAAGTATTTATTACCATAAAAGGAATTCACCGGGGCTGGACCCCACACATCAGAATAAATTAATTCAAAAGGATGTAAACTAGATGAGTGAGTACTAGTGATGGAAAGTCTATGACTTTTCTCTAACTGACAAGATTCACAAATGGAAGATAATTTATTTGAAGAAATAGGTAAATTAAATCTAGAGACTAAACGACGCAAAACAGACTCATGTGGATGACCAAATCGGTGATGCCAAGTTTGTAGAGACGTCTTTTCACCAAGGTAGACACGAGGAGAAGAGGGTGCAGTGGGAGATGATTGGAGGTGATACAGTCCATTTTCAACGCGTCCGGTGAGTAGCGTCTGTCCCTGGAGGTCCTTCACAAAGCAACAAGTAGGATAAAATATCATATAAGCATTATTGTCACGGGTGAGTTGAGAAACACTGAGTAAATTCTTTTTGATGTCAAGAACAAATAAAATATTATTGAGATGAAGAGGAGCATGGGATGCTTGTAAAGTAGAATGACCTAAATAAGTTATGGGTAGAGACATACCATTACCAACTTGTAACCCTTCATTACCGGTGTAATTGGAGTGAACAGAAAGGTTACCAAAGTCAGCCGTGACATGATTTGTTGCGCCGGAGTCAAAACACCATGGGTCAATAAGAGCTGAAGGAGGATTTTGAACATGATAAGCTTGTTGTCCAGGCTGCATGGTAATGGGATTAAGAGCTGGAGGAGCCTGAGTGTGATATCCCGAAAAATTAATGTAAAATAAATAATTTTATTAGTCAAGTAAAATGTTACGAAAATGACATTTTAATAATTCAGTAAATCAAATAAAATTTTAATGACTTAAATAGTGAAAGGGAGGTTTTATAAGTGAGAAATTTTGAGAACATATGATGAATTCTAAAAGAGACATAATATTTTAAAAAGGGGCGGATAAGATTATGTTCACACATAAATTAAAATACACATGCATCAGATATAAAATACACTATCACATGTATGTTCTGCGCATAGGAGTAATAGGACTAATAATTTGTATGGTATGACTACCTCATTAACATGTCAATAATAGACCCAAAACAATAATAATATACAACAATAATAATATAGACATAATATAGCAATAATATACGAAGTACATATCATAGTAATAATAATAACCACATACATAGTACCAATAATATACATGCACCATGCCTTACCCCGGCCATCTAGTCATGCTACACACCATACAAACAATACATGTGAAGGAATATATCTATAATATAATTGCTACTCCGTATATTATTTTTTGAAACCAACCCCAAAGACACTTGCACATGGGTCTGCAATGCACGAGCATGGGTCTTAGGCAAATACAAAGTATGATCCAAGGTACCAAGGGATTTCACCCACATGCATTTGTCTTTCCCTTCCTATCATACATGCTCACATAATAATATGGTTGTGCAATCGGATAATCACGAGAGGCTTCGGCTGAGAAGTATAAATAGGGAGGAGCGGCAAGTTATTTTTCACACCATCATCCTACCGCTGCTCATATACACTCAAATATACCATAGTATATACGAAGTATATACTTACTTCGTGTAATATATAGTGTATATTATATATATACATACCTATGATGCGGTAAGTATATATACTAAAACCAAAACTAAAAACATCACAAACTTAGTCTACAAGAATAGGAGAGAAGGAATACTTAGTTGCTCAGAGGCAAGAAGGTCACCGGAGGGAGGAAAAAGATTGCCGGAGTTTGCCGGACTGGTTGTTCACGGCAGAAATGATGCCAAATCGCCACACCACCTTCGGAGTTGACATCGCTAGAGTAGCTACAGGGTTGGACTCTCCTTGGTCTGGTTAGAACGACGCTCCTTCTTCCTTCAGTGAGAACGTCGCACCTACAGTAACCATCTTCCTCCCTTAGCTTCTTCTTACTCAAAGCTGCGTTGTTTTATTTTTAAAAGACTGGACATTGATTTACGTACATTAGCTGGGCCGTAATGCTGAATAATAATGATAATAACGAGCCTATCTCAGTTGTCTCATAAACTGGAACCGGAAGAAAGAATTAAGTTGATATGTTTATAAATTGTTGGCTGGCCGAAAATGAGTTAGTGGACTGATCTAATTAATTCATAAACTTGACTTGGTTAAACCCAGTTAGAGTTTAGAAATATAAAGGGGATAGTTAAACCATAAAATGAATTGATGAGTAATTAATAAAAACTAATAATTGTACATTATATTAAAATAATATTCAGCCATTTGGACTTAATACCATAATCAGATTAAACAAAGTTGGATAGGTATTATTTTCACTAATTATTGGATTAATTGAAGTAGATTCATAAAATTAAATTACGGACTCGGAAATATTAAGTGTTGAGTAGATATATAACATCAGGTTTAGTTAATGATGATTAGTTAATTTAGATAATTGCTAGAATATTCGGATTTACTAATATTGTTGATTAAGGTAACTACGAAATTTGAATAAGTTAATTAAATATAATTCGGATAGTATAACATGATATTGGATCATTAGTAAATAAAAATTATTGGCCGAATTCAGATAGTAACAAAGTAATGGATTAATAAAAGTGAGTAATGAATGGATAAGCTAAGTTTGAATAATTAATTAGTTAATTATATCAAAAAATTTGAATAATAAAATAAAAGGTGAAAATCGGATAAGTTATCAAAAATAGAATAAGTGACTAATTAATTATATCATCTTAATTAAAAAGGTGAATATTTAGAGACCGGATTTGAGAAAGCGAATTAGGAGCATCAGGACTTAAGGTAAGTTTCTCTGCCGATCCAAAATGGTTTCCTCGTATTATATGCTATTATTTGATTAAAGTGTGAATTTTGAATTATGTGTACGTGATTTTGAGGAGATCTTTGATCTATGGTATTTGATAAGTGAAAACGAAGTACTTTTGGGTATTAAATATTTTTAAATACCTTTGAGACTATTTAGAGAGATTGAGAAATATTTTTGGAAGTATATCTAAAGTCAAGATAAAATTTACGTTTTCATAAGAGGTGAGCACCCGGGAGAAATCCGTGGTGTCGTTTTTCCACATCCGGATAAATGTGGAGGGTGATTAAGGCTGCTACTACTAAGAAGTACAATTTGAGTTTGAAGTGACATTTGGATCTATGATCCCTTTTAAGAAGAAGTTATAGTAGTAGTAGTCCCTGATCATTCAAGAATTTTAAAGGTGGGGTAGTTGGTAGACTGAGTCCCGATTACTCGTGACGACTTACTACTCGGAGGGCTTGGAATCCCTTTTAGGGGGTGTGCACACTTAAGGTAGTCGTTTCGTTTCCATTAGCAATTGTGGTACCGGCAAAAGTCCCGGGGTGGCCGTACATAACAACGTAACCACCGGGCTCGACCAGAGTGTTGGGCACCGCCCTTCTAAATTACTATGAAGATAGAGAAGAAGTGAATTTTGAGAAATTCTAAGAGAAGAGTTACTATAGTATTTTCAAAGAAGAGTTGAGGACTTTATTAAAGAAGTGATTTGAGAAATATCAAAGAGAAAAGAATTTTGGTGGAGTGTGTCATTTTTATATAGTACTATATGAAAAACTATTTTTCGCCAAACGTGATTATTTTACGGGGTTGGGTAGTACTTACTTAGCTCTAAAGCTAATTTTTGTTTCCTTTTCTCTGTTTTGTTTTCTGCACTTTATTTGTGCAGGTGATGATGCTTATGTGGACTGATGATTGTATGACCACGAGAGCGGTTTAGAAATGCCTTAGTCAAACCTAGTCAAGAATTATAATTTAATTATGTTGAACACTTGTTTTACTCTATTTTGTTTTGGAATAGCCTGTGCATTCGGTTAAAAGATGACCGGATGTGGCGGTAACACCCATTTCCTATTTAATGTTATTTCCGCTGCAAAACTTTTTATCTGTTTTAAAAGAGTAAATCAAGTTTGTTATCAATATATTATTATTTCAAGTATTATTTTGGGAGGGAAAATGGGGGTGTTACACTGAGTGTGATAGGCGGAGCCCGTTGTGGTAGGCTGCTGTCCACGGCGCGGTTGATGCGGCTGTCCACGGCGAGGCTGCTGCTGTCCAGGGCGAGAGGGTTGTCGGGGTTTGGTTTCAGGATAGGTGTCAAAATTCGCCTGATGCCAGCAGTTCACCGCTTCATGACCCGGTTTTTGACAGATTAGACAAGTAGGCCGAGAACTGGAGACAAGATCACCTGATACAGACCTGCTGTCTGTGAAACCCGACCGGGCTCCTCCTGTACCCGATCGGGCCGCTGCCAGTGCAGTGGCACTCAGCGGACTCGTTCTTTCCGAATTTAGACGGGCCTCCTCACGCAGAAACATACCAAGGAGATCATGTGAAGTAATGAGTCCAGGATGCAGATCAAAAGCAGAACGAAAAGCAGAATATGATGCATCAAGGCCATGAAGAATGCTTTCAACAAACTCATCATCGGGAACAACATAATTGCATTCGGCTAATGCATCGGAAAAGGGGCGTTTCTTTTCAACATAATCCAAAATTGACAAATCACCTTTTGGAAATTGTTGGAGTTGAGTTTTGAGATGCATGAGTTGAGCACGATTTTGAGAATAAAACATGCGGGATAAAATATTCCACGCTTCATGGGTGGATGTAGCACGTGCAACATGAACAAGTAATGGTGTAGTTAATGCAGAGCGGATCCAGAGAAGAATTAACATGTCCTTCCGCCACACGAGATATTCTGGATTTGCAACGGGGGTTGAACTCGTGGAATCGACAGATTTGACCAACGGCTGCGGCATGGCGGCGGAAAAGAGAAAATCGTCGAGCTCAAAAGCTTCTAGAGCTGAGCGGACAGTTTGACACCATAACATGTAATTAGAACGATCCAAGAGAATATTAAGTTTTGGGAGATTGATAGAGATAGAGGTTGAGCCGGAAGCCATGACGAGCGGGTGACCGGAAGTTTCGACGGAAGCCTCGTCGTCTGACATTGTTGTGGCCGCGGCTGCTAGGGTAGCGGATTACCCCTGGTAGTCTGATACCATGTTAATAATGCTAAGTGTTTTTAGTTTCAAGCCATACTTCATTCTATGATTAGAGAGGTATTTAAATACAAAGAGTTTGGGCTTATTAGGGTTTACAAGAAGTTTAATATGGACCCAATAAGCCAAGAGAATATTACAAAATAAATGCAAATATACTTTCCCTTAATAGGGAGTAAACTATAACAAAAGTGCAAAAATAGGAGTCTAATGTTTCGTATAATTATATAGGAGTAAAAATTTGTGAGTTGACAATTGACATAAGTACCCTTAATGAAAAGTACCTTGATTTCTTTATTAAACAAAATAAAATAAAATACTCCGTAGTAATTCAGAGCTTTAGACACATAAACATAAAGCTTCAGACACCCTATTCTCTGTCGCAACCACCAAAGCCAGAATTGCCGTTGCCAACATTTGCTATCGCCGCCACCACCAATTGCTACCTCCGGTGTTGCGGCCACCACGGTCACTAGTCACCGCCACGGCCACCGCAACCGCCACTGCTGCATACCGCTGCCACCCCGGCACGACTCTGTCGTCACCATCGCCGCCACCTAATCCGGCATTGCTGCCAGATCCTATGCCACTACTACTCATCCCACCCCACCTTTGGCTTTTCTGGCAC